GTTGCCTGCTAGCTCTGTGAACTAAGACAAACAGAAGAATAGCCGTCTTTCCAGCAGTTGACCGACCATTGAGGAAAGAATTGAAGTCTCACTTGTTTCCATGAGTGTTGCTTACTTTCTTCATCTGTTTCCTCTGCTTTCTGTTTCCTAATGTAGTATACCATATGTTCCGACCCATTCACTGTCTTTTCTGATTTTCTTTCTCGACCGTCTAGGCAGTTTTACAGCTTACTGTGTCAACGATGGTCTTCCATTAAAAAAAGCAAATATACTGACTTAAGCAGGAGTCCTGGGAAGAGGCTTTAAAAATCTGAAGCAAGAACAAGAGTTACAGTATATTAATTTGCTAGAGCAAAGGACGTAGAGTGTAGAAAAAGAACGTACCCTGAATTTCGGCAGGAGCCTTCAGTGGCCTAAAGAGTTACCAAATCCTACTGTGCAGTCTTGGATCTCTGGGATAGTAGTTTTCCGCTGTTGTTATTCACAGTAACTGTTTTTCAATAGAATGAACATACATTACACATCACTGTATATAGGGGCCCCAAAAGAGTTACTCGTTCAGTTGTTCTGTGGTTGGGATGGATGGTCAATAAGGCTGAAAGTCTAGAGAGACAGAGATGTAACTATCCAAGGAGCCTTAGTTGGGGCTTAATGCTCCCGATGGTCTTGTGATTCTGCATAGTACCTGAAAACGTAAGCAGTGTATACTTAGCAAAAGAAAATACATTTTTTGCTAAGACGTGGAATACTTACACTCAGGAATCTAAGCAAAATAAAAGAAAAAATTCTTTTGAAGTTTGAGGTATTAGTGAATAGATTTCTGATATTGAGCTGTAAACTGGAGTCATGCTTAGCCATCTGTTATACAGATTAGCTTTGCATCCACCCTATTCATCCTATGTATATAAAATGCTGTAAATGGTTACAGATTCTTCTTAACTGTCAGCCATAATGCAAGTGCTAATGATTTTTTTTAACTCTAGCAAAATAATATTTTCCTGCAAATGAATATAAATACAATATAGTTAAAAATCTACTTGTGATAGTTCTCATATGACTTTAAATTTCAGTCCTCTTAAGCATTCGTTACTTTTCCTTTTGACAACAGCTTTGTGGTTTCTAGTGCATCAACACTCAATAAGTATCAATAAATCTTGCTAATTCCACTTCATTACAATTTTCTAGTTCACCACTTTTGGTGTATATTTCGTAAATAGTACTCCCACATATAATTTGATGGGGACTACTTCATGTTTAAAATAAATTAAATATCAAAAGTACACAGCCATGAAATGGAAATAAATGTTGTATCAAGCTATCCAGCACACTATATTTTTTGTAAGCATCATGTGTTATAGATAACCATGACAGATGAAGGAAGAGGAAGAACATATCCTGAGTTCCTAGGAGACCAATGTTAGCATTTCTGTAAAAGTCCAAGGCAGGGAAAAGGGCGGTAGTTATGGTAAAGGCAGGAATAGCACTTTTTTCAGTGTTGGAATTTTACAAGAAGCAGAAATTTTCATATATAAAAAAAGGTCTTTTTCCCATCAGGAGAGTGGTCGTCAGTACAGTTGTTACTTCATCAGCAAGACTTCTGTCTAAGACTAGAAAGCTTACGTTAACCCTGAGAATCGGTTTCTAAACTGTACAGAGGTGTTTGGTACTTTCCAGGCTGATTCTTCCCTTGGTTTTAGTTAAAGATCATACCAAAAACGTTTAAAGAGTCATCTTCAAACGTCTTTCATCTCTGGCTAACAAGCGCTGCCTCATAATCTGACATCGTTCTCCTCTGCAGGAAAGCTCAGTATTTTTAGGACCTCTTCTGTAATGGTTCTTCACTGTAACCTGCTCTGAGTTCTCCTCCTCAGCTCCTTTACCTGTTGTGTATCTTGTGAGAGCGCCGTGTACTGAAGTATTGCTCTTGCAAGCGCTCCCCGAATTCAATTCACGGGGACCGCGGAGGGAGGCGAAGAGCTCGGCGCCGTGTGAGCGCGTCAGGACGCGGCGGGACTGAGCCGTCCCACCCGAATCCTGTGCCTACGGGCTCCGTCTCCTCCTGCCTGCGCTGTGGCTGCTTTCCTGCGCCCCAGCCCTGACCACAAGCTGTGCTTCAGATGGTCGCCTCGAATGTGGGCAAAGGACTGTCGCTCAGCTCACAGCAGAGGCACTTTTGCTTGCTCTACGTGGGCGATACCGTTACGGGGATATGCAGCTGTCTGTGGTGCTTTAACTCAGGGTCCCAAAGACTTCAGGTAAAACCATACTCCTAGAAAAGAGGTTAGAAACCCCCAAATCTACCCCTAGCTCACTGTCTTACTCGCGCGCTTGGTGTGACGCTGAGGCGTGAAGGATGAGACGAATTCCTCTTTCACGGTTTGTGCGCTAGTGCTCAAATCTTCCCAACAATTATTTTACGCTACTAATGAAAATGCCAGGATTGATGGTAAAATCATGTTGTTGTTGGGTGATGCTGAATCTGAGTTTGAAATTTGAACAGGAATCTCTCAGTAGTTAATGAAACTGCTGTTACTAACAAAATGAGCCAGTGTGTTCCGTTTCTCCTTTGTCCAGCACAGCTGTACCTCTTCGCCATCCGATTTCCCGAAACGACGGAAGTGAAAAAGATACACCTTCATGTTTGATTTCTGTGAGAAGGCAGGATGAGAGCGGGACCGTAGATCGGAAGTCTTTCCACTTCGGGCTGAAACTGAAAGGATTTTTTTTTTAACGTAAAAATCCTTTTGCCCGAAAAAAGACATCCCTTTGACTTCTGCAGTTCTTAATTGCCTTAAATATGTGGCTTCTTTGTGAAGTTAACCACACTAGCGATCCTTGGAGGAATTTGACCCTTTAGCAAAGGACAGTTCAAGTGTGCATGTGTTTCCCAGCCTCCTTCCCCTGCTGGGACCTGCGACTGCCTCTTGTCGGACCCTGGCTTTACAGTCCTCCTTCTGATGGTATTTTTAAATACAGCATCCTGCTCCTTTCAGGGAAGGTCTTGTAACAACATCTCTGTTTCCAAACAGTCCAAAAAGAGTTTATCAACCTTCTTGTTGTAAGCCGTAGGCTGTTGTGGGGGGGAGGACCGGTGTGAAAACCCCACAGCTGCTCCCTGCGGCGTGGACACTGATCGGAAACCGGTCCGGCCCCGGCTCGGACCGTTTCTTCCAGACCTGAGCGCTGGCGCTGACCGTGGCGGCTGCTTGGGAATTTGCAGCATCATGCTACATTTGATGTTCAGGTGCTACGAGCCCAGTAATTTAACCGTTTAAGTACCGACCCTGCCTTTGTCTCTCTGGCACTGCTGTGTAGTTCTTCCTGTCTTGAGCTGCCCTAACTGCTGGCGTTTATGCGTGAAGTTCTCCGAGGACCAGTAACTTCACCCTCGACATCCATGAGAAAAACGCCGTGTCCGTTATTACAGCCTGCGCTCGGAAAGCTGTGATAAAAGTGGGTTGCTTTGTGAAGGCGCTTTGGCTTGTTTTCTTAGAGCTGCAAAGCTACCTGCTTTCTGAAGGGGTTGATGTTGTTCGTGACAAACTGAAGCACCGCACAAAGATTAATCAGACAATTAAGTTCAAGCACTTTCTTTTACTCTGCCATATGATAAAGACTTTTAGGTGTAATGATTCTTTTGCCATCACGACAGCTATGTTGAAAGACTAAAGGAATCTCTAGTAATACAGTCTGCTGGTAATTAAAATACGAATATATATTTCAATGTGGTTCATCTAATAATCAAACCAAATATATTTTGAACCAACCATATGGAGACAGATATTGAAAAGCGCGTGGCACCTACCAAGACTCTGGTGCTATTGCCAGTACGCGGGCTGCGTTAGAGAGCAGAAGCACGGTCCTGCAGAGCTCACAGGAATTCCAGCGTCTCTCTGGCCCGTGGCGCTAAGTCAGCGTGTCAGAAAGGCACCTACCCCGAGTAGCCTGATTTTCTTGCTTTTTGCACTGGCAGCTGGAATTGCATTCCTTAGTTCCTCATTGGAGCGATGCCTTAAGAGAAAAGGAGTCCCAAACTAGAAGGTGACTAGGTTTAATAAGCGCAGTTAAAGAGTGTATGTTTTAAAACAACTGCAGCTCCCTGTCCCTCTCCCCTTCTCTGCAGCTAGGACACAAATACTGAGTCAGTGTGGAGACTTAAGAATCCCCCGTTTGGAGACGGGTTATATCAGTCGTGAGGTTGCAAAGACTGCTGCTTTTTCTGCAGCCCTGCCCAGTTTTGTGTAAAATTCAGATGGTCCCTTTTTACTCCATACACCTGAAAAGTAGAGTTTTATTTAGAATTTAAGAATGAAATGGCTTGTAATTCTGCATAACAAATTCGTCTAAGTCTGTTTCCACTACCTCCCTTTCCGCTTCTGTCACGAGCTTAGATGGGGAGCTACGACCAGCTTGTTCTTTTTGGTGCTACTATTAGCTTGTGAGCTTGTGATGGAGGTAGAAGAACAACTTCTTCTCTCACCTCCAGGAATTCTGAGTAAAGAAAATTCACATTTCTTAATATTCGAGACAGTGAATTAAACAGAAGCTCAGACTTTTTGTAAGCTAGCAACAAATACCTGAAGAAATTTAGGTATGTGTTCAGATGCAGATAGGCTCAGGTTTAAAAAAATCTCTCCAGGCCATTTTTCTTCAAGAGGCTTTACTGTTTGTCTTGCACTATTTCTTTTTTCGTTTGTATGTCCCAGTAATAAACAATACCAGTTGGTTTAAGTATTGAAAATTTTCCCCACGGGAAGCGTGCAAGATCATGTCTTGTAACACAATTATAGTGTTAAATTGTGGCATGACTTTTGTAATGACAATTAGTCCCTTTCCCCCCATGATCTGTATATTTTTGTTAGGGCAATGAAGCTGTTCTGCAACTTTTTAATAATAGTAATAACAACAGCTTATTTTTACTCTAGAATTTAGGTTCAAATTTAGTGTGCACCTTGTATCTTCAAGTCACCTACCCTTGAACGTATAATTTGTAGTTACCACAAAATGGTCGAACTTCACTTCTTAGCCTGTAGTAGAGTTGCTTGCTCGAGACACTCTGTGGTAGAGGCCGGGTAAGAATTTGCGATATCTTGACTAGACTGCATGGTCTCGGGCGTTCTTCCTTGACCATACTAACGCAAAGGAAAAAAGACCCAACTTTTTTAAAGGAAAATCATTACAATGTAAGATCGCTTTTTGTCGTGATCTGTAATCTACAAAGTGAAGAGTTTGAGGGCATAGGAGCTTAGCTTTTTTCTGAACAAGATACTTAAAGGTGTGCAAATGTGAAGTGAGAGATCTGTTGTCAGAAAAGACAATTTGATTCAAAGGTGAATAAAAAAGAGCTTATATTAAATGGAAATCTGAAGCTATGCATTTCAGTATATTTGTTCTGTTTAAGAATGATGTAAATTAAGGATTTTGGGGTTTTTTCTGTTTTTTAAAGAAGGAACTTTCTTTTTCTAAGCTATTATGAAATAACATTATGGTAATTTCTTGCTTGAACAGCCTTCAGTGGCCTATGTACATACTACACCAGGCTTACCTTCAGGCTGGGAGGAAAGAAAAGACGCTAAGGGACGTACTTACTATGTCAATCATAACAATCGAACCACAACTTGGACACGACCCATTATGCAGGTATGAAGATATGTTATATTGCTTAACTTAGACAGTGCTGAATATAGTTCCAGTTGAAGCCGTTCTTCAAAGCTCTAATATCAAAAAAAATATTCTAAGCATTGTCATGACAAGATTTTTTTGTTAATTCTCTTAACTATATGAAGATCCAGATTAAGTTTATTGCGACGATGGAGGGAATTTATGGAGAGGTACATAGCAGAAATAAATAGAGGCAAATACGATTCCAGGATTGAATTTGAAAGTTCTGTAGATCCATTAATAAAATCATCTATTTACCCTTCCAGTGGAATTAAAATGAAATAATAAACTTGATCTTTCACATAGTACATTTAAGATTTCCTTAAAATAATTATGATAAATAAATAAATGAAGTAACGACATTTTTTTACATGTCCTAACTGGATGAACTGTGATCCTGACAACTAGCTAATTTGGTTTTACCTCTGAAATAGCTTGCAGAAGACGGCACGGTTGGGTCAGCAACCAACAGCAACAACCATCTGAGCGAACCTCAGATAAGACGGCCTCGTAGCCTCAGCTCACCCACAGTAACTCTGTCTGCTCCGCTTGAGGTGAGAAACGTTGTCGTCAGCAAGGATCGCCTATCTTTGGCTTCTCACGCTACGTTTCTTTATAACCTTTTAGTTATGCAGCACGGCCACGGCCGCTTTTCCTGAGCTGTTAATTTTGTCCTAACATACTACTGTTTTCTTCAGTAGTTTTCCGTCTGCATCTTTGTGTTGTACAATAGTAACTTTTATGATCCTTGAATGATATGTGCAAGTCTTTCTTATATATGATAATTTGATTTAGTTAGCTAACACTTATTTCACTATCTATTTGAAATATATACGTTATTGTGACTCCTTTCAAGTACTACAGATTTATAAAATCGGAAATATTTTTAAAGTTGAAACATTGATTTTAGTGCTGGTTCCTTTGAAAATCATACCTGCAATTGATTTTGGAAAATCCTGGAATGAGACGCTGATTTGGTGTTTTGTATTTCTTGCCTTTCAAAAGGACTTCTTTTAAGTATCTGTAAAGATAATTCAGAACAGTATTGGATGCTGTTCTCTGCAGCGTATCTGAAGAATAACTTTAGCGGCTTCTTACGCAATCAGAGACTGTGTGCTTTACTTCTGAAAGTATGATTAAGCCTCTTAAATCAGTTAAACATGGCTGTATGGAGGAGAGTCTGTTCTTAAAAACTTCAAACTGAGTCTGGTGTCATCTTCTCTTCTACCCTCTCTTTCCTGCTGCTCTCTCTTCTGCTCCTGGAAAAGCTCTCCAACAGTCATATGAGGAGCATAGCATTTAATTAGTTTTATTTTATGCATCATTCTTCTTTCTTCCTTATACTGAAAAATACTGTCCCAGTCATTGAACAAGTCATTAAACAAAGGTAGGATCATAGGATCTCTTGATCCTATGTTGGACAGGATGATTGTAGCCCACTATATTTAAAATAACCTTTATTTAGATGTGATTTAAATAAGCCCTTTAAAAATGAACTGCTCAAGTCCATTACCATTGTTAATTTTAAAGACTAAATTTACTGTAATTTAGTAAATGAAATTTAAAAGTTCTGTCTATCTTAAACTAAAACATTCAAGCCATTCCTCTCCCTACTGAAATTTTAAATGTTTGAGCTGAGGCACTTAGCTGATGCTGAGCACCTGACGCTTTGGTTTCTCAAAGTGATCAGCCAGCTTTTAATGGCAATAACCTTTTTCACAACTGCAAGGAGAGTAGTTTTTTCCACATCAGTATGTATATTCAGCTAATCCGCTCAGTGGTTGATGGTTTTGTTGAATGTTCAGAAACCACAAGGGTGCTGGAAAGCACAAAGCTTGTTTTCTTTTATCCACCTCTGAATTAAAATAATTTATATATTTTTTTAAATTAAGGTGTAGACTTATTAGTATTAAAATCTTCAAGGATACAACCACAAGGAAAAAAAAATAGTTCAACTTTTTATAAAGGACTTCCTTTGTTTTTATTATTTTGTTCTTTTATTGTAAAACGTGTTCAACTTTTTCGTGTGCAACTCATATGGAAAGCTTTTATTTAATGAGAATAATTTTACATACTACGTTTGTACGCTGTAACTTAGCTGCATTTTCCATCCAAATGCAGCTTGAAACAAGCCACAAATAAGACAATAATAGCTTTGTAAATATCTTTGTTGACTCCTCGTCTTCCAGTATAATGGGAGGAAAAAAAGTAATTACAGTGAATAAGTGTTGTTAAATTAGAGAATTGCCTAAATAAGCATGCATAGATTTAGTGAATCTTAATAATTAGCAAAATAAGTAGAAAAACAATTATCATTTATCAGCCAAAGAAAGCTTATTTTTGGAAAATAACTAAGAAGTACAAAGGCAAACAAGATCAAAACTGAATATTTAAATCTCATTTTCTTTTTAGTGGTGACAGTGTTTTCTCAGGTGAGTAAATCTGGATCAAATTTGTAAGGCTGTTTTAGATGTCTAAATGTGCAGTCTACTAGTGGAATTTTCGAATGAGCCAGATCACTGGCTGTAATGCCGAGTTTTATTCGTTTTACGGTAATTGAGTGACATTTGGCAAATTTTGATGTTCCTCATTTCCTTCAGGGTATGAAGGACTCACCTGTGCGCAGAGCTGTGAAGGACACCCTTTCCAATCCGCAGTCCCCGCAGCCCTCGCCTTACAACTCTCCTAAACCACAGCATAAAGTCGCACAAAGCTTCTTGCCTCCGGGCTGGGAGATGCGAATCGCACCCAATGGCCGGCCCTTCTTCATCGACCACAACACTAAGACCACTACGTGGGTAAGTGGAACGCGAGGTAACGGAGTTCAAATCTGTTGCCGTATCTGAAATATTTCTGTCTTGCCCTCTCTGTTTTCCTGCCTGTATCCCCTCCTTTTTATTGTGGCCATTTGTCTTGTTTTTAATTAAAGTTCAAGTTCAGCGTGAGGGATTTATCAGCCAAACGTTTCACAAAACCGATCTAGGAACCTGACTGCATCCTTTGCACAGCGCTGTAAAGTAGCGATAGACTTCCAGCACGAATTTCTTGATGTGGTTGTAGTGCTGCCATTGCTGCCCTCAGAGAGGGGAAACTTATTTTGGTTTATGCACTGAAAATACATTTTGGTGAATTTATGCATCATATACCATGCAGTAGTGTTTTGCATTTTGTATCTGATGTTTTTATACTTGGTAAACCATTGCATGCAAATATTATGTTTGAAACTCCCCAAATTTGGATTTCAGGTGCATACAACATGATGATGAATATTTGCTATTTAGTTTAAGACTGTCTGTAATGCTATCGTATATCACTGTGACTAGTACTGCTTTTTTATTAACATAATGTATGTTCATGTTCTTCAGTTCTCAGAATCCGTTTTTGTGTTAGGTCACGAAGCTTTATTTTTCAATAATGTTACAGTTTCAGTAAGCAAACTGAAGAAAAAAATTAAACTAGGAAAAAATGTGTTGGTGGCCCAAAAAGGGGCACCATCTTGCTTCTGTATGAACTTCAGATATTTTCTAGTAGAATATCTGGTCTTCCTTCCTCTGGTTAAACATATACCATTTGCAATAATTGCAACTGTAGGCAAAATGTATTACCTGCTGAAGGATAAGACATAGCAATGTAAGTTTGCAGTACCAGCTTGGGACTTCATTTAGGTCACTTAGTTAAATCCTTGAATTTTGCTTGCTTATTGCTTATGTATTCTCAGAATAAGAATTCATTTTATCCATCAGAATTTACTCTATTACTCTGTTACTCTAAATTTACTATCCTAGAAGGCAAATTCTTTTTAAGTTGCTGTTGGTATTAAACAGCAATGTCCATAGGAGCTGAGAAGTTACTTTGCATCTGTCCATCTGAATTTGTGTCCAAGAAGGTTATTGAGGTTCACTCTTCATGCTGTTTCTTGAATAAAGAGACATGCTAGATCCAGATGTCAGTTTGATCCTTGAGTTCCTAGTGTCAGTTATTGTCTGTTTCTCACCAGCTTACAGTAGCTTCAGAAAAGTCAATACAATGCTGAGGATGATTATGAATTTACAACAAATTGGGTTAATGACACTTTTATTTTAGCAATGTAGAAAGTTATATTTTGGTTTTTTTGATAAAACTTCCTTCAAGTATTAAATGATCTATTATCCAGCTCTGTTATCTAAGATAGATCACCGTATTAAGGTTTTAGTTCATATGTAGTCCTGTCAATAAAAAGCAGTGCATTGACTTAGGTGCAGTATAAATTCAGGCGCATCTGCTTTGTACTTATGTTTGTCAACTTTTAAGCTCAAGCTCCAGGGAGAGTGAGCGTGCTTGATCCATCTGTTTTTAATTGTTTTCTAAAAGTGGAAGCTTTTGTGCCTAACCAAAGCAAGCTAAGGTTTTAGTAATTTCAGCTAGCTTAGAAATCAAGTGTTCTGGTGTTTCACATGGTCATTTAAATACGAGCAACACTTTAGTTGGTTAGGTACCATTCTAATTCTCAGTAACCGCTATTTACATTAAACGTTTCTAATGGTGGCCCTTGATGTTGTTCCCAGATGGATGTGGGAAAATTGTGTATGTGAAGAAATCTCAAGCGTTTTTTAATCTAGATTTTTTTTTTTCTGTGACCTATTTTACTTGCCACTTTTTGCCTTATTGGGACATTAATTTAATATTTCTTCATTAAATTCATTCAATTGATCCTTTTCTAGCCTTGTCCTCACTGAATGGCTTATTTCTCTATGTTTTTAAGAGCCAAGCATATGCATATGTTTCTGAGCGCCCCTTATAGGAGTGTGTGAATTGGTAAGACTAGGCCTGTATTGTTTTTAAGCACACCTCTGGAAATAACACAGTTAGGGTCTTAACATCGCCCTAGCTATCTGTAACATCTAAAAGTTGTTGCAATTTATAAATCTTTAATAAAGTATTTGACACATCCAGATACTGAATGTTCTGTAGCTTCTCTGTGTTTTGGTTTTGTATTTTATTCTCAGGAAAAACCTTGAAGGCTAGTCCTAACGTAGGCAGACTTCTTTTCCAGCTAATTCTGCATTTTGCTAAGTGGGTAGTTTGGACTTAATCTGATGGATTTATATTACAGGAGGATCCACGACTGAAATTTCCAGTGCATTTGAGATCGAAAGCTTCTTTGAATCCTAATGATTTGGGCCCTCTTCCTGTAAGTGACAATGTGTATGTATTTTAATATATACCTGCTCTCTTAAGAGAATAGATCTGTTACTGCAGTCACTTATTGTGTTTGGGTATGTGCGTTGCTATCATCACTTTGATGTAGATTTGAAAGTTGTGTTTATATACAACACCAAAGAGCTTTACTGTGATCTGTGAATCCTTCAGGCTTTTTGAAGCCAGATCATAGTATTTCTCAAGTAATCAAACACTTCTTTGCTTATATGAAACACTGAGCTTTGAATAAACTTACCGTTAGTTTTATCACTGGCTATGTGATTTTAGATAGTTAACTGTTGCTTTAGAAAAAATGTTTGCTCGAAGTGAGCTTTGTAAATGTACCAGCATATATTGGTATTCAGAAATCCAAATAAATTTTGCTTTTGAATGGCACTGTCATATTCTATAGAGAAAATCATCATAGTAATCTCAAAAATCTGGTCATACTTGTAGCCAACGTGTAATGTTGAATTATACCCACGTCGAATAAAATGCAGCATCATGTTAATTGCCTCGTACATACTAAGCACGCTTCTGAAAAATTGCCCATTGGGAATGCATTTGCCACAGTGGAAATCTTAGTAGTAGTGAGCCCCCGCCGGCCGCCCACCTGCGCCCGGAGCGTTCGGGACACGCGGGTGGCAAGCAGCTGGGCCAGCAGAAGAGGCTGCTGTCCCTGCCTGTGGGACACTTAGCTTCGTTTTGTCACTGAACCCAAGTAAAGTGGGTTACAGTTTACTTAGACGAGCTGCTCTGCCAGCAAACCAAGACGGGTGCTACCTTTGGGCAAGAGCGGTGACAACAGCTACCTCTTGTTGGGGCGACAACCTCTGTTACCACCTATGATCAGACATTCTCCTCTGAAACATCCTAAAATCTCACTGCCCTTCTCTTGATTAGCAAAAAATTTTGTTTTGTATTTAAATCAAGTTTGGCAGTTTGTCAGGCCCAGTGTCTCGGAACATTAATTAGATCAAAAACTATGCTCAGATGAATATATTTATTATGATGCATTTGCTAGTTACAACACAGCAGTAAAGACACAGTTTCTTAAAACAGTTTCTTTTTTTAAGAAAACAGCTGTGGGAATAGCAGCTCTTTGGTAATTTTTCAGATGCATTCTGCATGCTTTAACCTCTAGGGAGACATTACTTAGAAGACACTGTGCAGGAGTAACTGAGCGTCCAATTTACAATTCATTCTGTTAATTGCAAGAGAGAAAACATGCTATTAAATGAGGGAAGCCGGGCGTATGTTACTGGGAATACATAATTAGCAACAGTTTTAAACTCAGTTAAAACAAGGCGTTTTTGAGTGAGGTAAGAATGACTACAGAACTTAACAAGAGCTGTTTATAAAAAAAAAGGCTGAAATGAAATCATTTACCTTCTGTATCATATAGGAGGCAGAAGCCAGACTGAATGCTAGGTTGGACAGCGTTGCATGTACAATCTGCCATTTATTCTTCTTTCTATACTATAATCATTTGGAAGGTAGGCAAAGGGGATCGCTAAAAAGGGAAGACGTGAGGACTAGGTTAGATGTTCTTGTCCTGCTTTGGTAGGATCCTGGCTTGTATATTGACAGCAAATAACCCACAGGGGTTTCAGAGGTAGAAGCAGAGACTCTCCAACCAGACAGATGACGGGCAACTTGTTGTGATGGCTTCCTCGCAGTAGGAAATGATTGCAAACCTTGAAGTTTCTGCTTCCAATTTAAAAATATATATATATTAACTGTACTGGGTACAGTTATCTGTGTAACAGTCAGTTCTTCTTTGAGTTTTGTTACGTTGTTGGCCTTGACGTAGTGCATTTGTGATCGCTTTGTGTTTTCTACCTCACAAACATCTTCCAAACACTTTTAAGTAGCTGTGGGTAATGTGTTGCTTCATACTGCATGAGCAGTTGCGCTTCACTTATTTTCTCTCTCTCTTTTTTTATTCCCCAATTCTAGCCTGGTTGGGAGGAAAGGATACATTTGGATGGAAGAACATTTTATATAGATCATAGTAAGTAAGCACTCCGGTACTACAACATATAGACAAAGGGAGGTAATAAATATTGAAGTGAAAGCTTTATAATTTTACTCTTCATTTAGGAAGCCAGGTGTTGATATGTGGAGACATTGATACCAGAGACTTAGTGCCCTCGTACGGTACTGTATATTCACTGAAAGCTTGCTTTTAATTGGCTCATCAAGCTTTGTCCCTCTCTGACTTGTGAAGCATTAACATTTCTTATTTGTGGTTTCTTTTGTTCTTGTTGATATTTTGGATTCTTTGTTGTTGTTGTTGATGATCCCATGGCTTATTTGCACTTAATAAATTAAAATATACACTAGGAATAGAAAATAAGATGAGAAAAGATCGTATAGCCACAACTCTGCATATAGGCAGTGGAGAAGTAACACTGCCAAGTACTCTTTTCTCTCGCTTCCTTTAAGAAGGTCTGTGGCAGTGCTAGTTCTGATCTTATTTCCTATTTGTAGCATGTTATATTGCACCCAGCCCATTAATATCTATTCAGTTCTGTTAGTGAAGTTCTAGTGTAAGTGATGTTTCATTGTAGATTTGTCTTATTACAGCATCTCAGAACTACTGTGTGAGTTTTTGTTGTTGTTTGAAAATAAACTAGCCCAGCAAGGTTGGTTGTGGTGTTGTTGTTGTTGTTTTAAGACTTCTGCTGGACTTTATAATGGGGTGTTTCTACTGATAGTATAAACTTCACAGAACTAGGTAGCTCACAAAACATTTGGAAGAGGGTACGCTTGCTGCAGAAAGCTTGTGGAATGAACATCTTAAACCACTATACATATTTGACAGTATCATGGTTTTCCTGTAGTAGCAGTAAAATTAACTCCTATGCTTATCTTTAGTTGTATTTTATATCATTATTAAAATATTGCCTCTAAAGTAATATGAGTTTTGAAATTGCATGCATAGTTTTAAATAAAAAAAAGAAATAATACACTCGTCAAGAAAAAGATTAACTTCTTTCAGACATTAATACAGAATCGTTAATGTTCTTTATACCTTCTGCAATTATCTCAATCAACAAATGTCTGGAAAATTAAATCTAGCAAATTATTGTAACCTGCTGTCACTAAAGAGTTACAGAATAAAACTTTCTAATTTAGTATCTCTGTATGATTCCTGAACCTCCTTACCATTGAAAAGTTTTAATTTCTCAGTCTTCTAAACCTACTTAATATATGTTTTAGTCTCTAAAAGTAAATAGAATGTTAAAGGTGTATATTAATCAAAATCTCCCAAAGACTTCATGATGTCTATAAAAATAATGTATTTGCACCTGAAATCTCTCTTCAGCCCCCTCTTTTGATCTGAAATTGTTTAGCTTTGTAGATAGCAGATTTTACAATAGTTTGGGGGTTTTTTTTGGTTAATGCTACTTGTTCCAGCAAATAGCCTTTTCTGTCATGGAGGTATTACACCGCTGCAGTTTCCAAGGGGACTGTAGGACTGTAGCAGCAGAGGTGATGCCAGTGGTATTACAGTGGACATGCTCCACTTCCCCTGGGATAACACTGTGCTCCGTGTGTAATGAACGACTACCAGCGGCAGTCAGGGATCAGTGATTTGTCTTGGACAATCTCAATAGTAGCATTTTCACAGTATTGGTAAGGAAGCGCAATGACCTTTGTGCGGAACAGGATTTCAGTATTATTCCTTCCTTTATTTCTTTGACCGTAGTTAGACCTTTAGGAGTGAGTCCGCTCACTCCTACTTGTTTCTTGACTAACTTCAGAACATATGTGAAAGCGGTCACGGGTGCAATCAGCTGTACTTCCCCAGAATAAGAAAGCCTCGGCAGTCCATCACTGGTAACTGGCCATGATTTCGGTCATTCTCTGCTAAAGTGATTAGTTAAGGGGCAACACATGTAGTTAATTTCATTATTAGACAAATGTTAAAAGTGTTAACAGATTCAGCTGCTACCAGTCCCGGATCCCCAGATACTCTGTTTAAATTATCCTGCATAATTACCCCGTACCATTATCCTATTTTATTAATGTTTCTCCCTTCCCTGAGAGAAACTGTAAAAAAGTCTAATTCAACCAGCGCAGAAGCTGCCTCTTGGGGAGCAACGCCAGCAGCTATTGAATAGACAGCATAAACTAATAAAGCAAAATATTGTTAGAATAATTTAAGTGTTACTTGTAACGTAGTAGAAACTGAAATGTAGCAAAAACTTTAAAACAGTTTATTAAGAATTTCCCCAGCGCTCGATCCTTATAAAATGCAGTCTCTAGTTGTCCATGACTGGTCCTTAGCCAGCTGGGTCAACGTTATTTACCATCCCTGGAAAAATTAGTATTCTCCATCTACTGTAGCACACTTAAACTTAGGCGTTTCCTAGGAGCGTTTTAGGAAAATATCGTCCAGCTATTGGAACTTATCTTGAGGGAAACCACAAAGGTTTTCCAAGCATATTCACAATAGTTATCACTGGTTTGCTGACAGGGGGATGGTTTCCCTCAGTGTCTGTCCTGGATCTGCCACTCCTCAATATATTATTAGTGATTTGAACGATAAATAGGGGGAATGTATTCGTTAGATCTGCAGAAAACTCCCAGGTGGGAGAGGCAAGAAGCGCTCAGTAGGGTGGGATGAGAATTCAGAGATTCATGAGAATTCAGCATGATTTGGACAAATTGCAGGTGCAGCTTGAAGTAAAAAAGATGCTATTTAATAAGAATTACAAAATACTGCTCAAAATGGGAATAATTAGCAGAATGTTTGTTAAAAAGGACATGAAAATATCATCAGGTAAACGTGAGTTAACTTGTCCTACTGACTTGGAAAAAAGCAAACATGCAGTGATGTATCAGTTGGAGTGTCTTGGGTAAGACCAGGAGTAATCCTTCTAACCTGTAATGTCTCAGGTGTAATTCTCTGTCTAGAATTGGGTCCTGAACTCCAGCAAAGTAGTGGACCAGGTGGGAAGGGACCAGAGGAAACGAGAATCCTCAAAGGCCATAAAGCCTGATGTATGAGGAAAGATTGAGTCCTGAATTCGTTTGGCCTAACTCCAGAGAAGCAATAGATTTTCAAAAATGTGCTGCAAAGGGACTGAATTTGTTATCCACCTCCGCTTTGAGTAACACAGGAAATCTAGAGCTACAGTTCCAGGTAGAATGATTCAGGTTAGACATTGTCCTTTCTAATTTTAAGGGTATTTAAGCACCCGAAGCAGCTTGTGTAGTGTCCTATCAGTCCCTGTCAGTGCAGTGCTCGGGAAAACAGCTTAGACAAAGCCGTTCAGTGACAGCACGTACCTCAGCGGGTGCGGTAGGAGGGACCTGGCAAACTCTGAGTCCTTTCCGGTTCTGTTTATTATCTTTGATTCATAGAAAACTGCCACCGCAACTTGTGGCTCTCAATTTCAAGAGGGTCTCTGAGAAAGGAAGCGGTTTGCAAACAGTGAATTTTGTAGAAGGAAGTTTGACTGAGCAGGTGGAAGCAACATGAATAGGGCCAAACTAGGAGTCAAGCCTTACCGCTCGCTGTGACTGCGGGTGCCTTGTGGTTTCTGGAGCTGTCAGTCTAAGTTCCTTCTTCCCTAATGTCCATAAGCACTAAATAGATAACGTGTGAAGAGAAATAAAATAGTATTTTAATATTAAAGTAACTGATAGATCCAAACTTCTGGAGATGTGCTTTTCTTGTGATCTCTTTGAATTTTCTTCAGCAACATTTAATGAAGGTCAGCTTTCAAAATCCAGTCTAAATTTTTGGCTATTTCAAAATTAGATTGGGATGTTTAAACTTATTTAAACAACTATAGAAACATGGAAAATATTTGTATTTTAGTATAAGTGTGTTTGGTTTTTTTTTGCTTTTACTATAGCAGCCTTAAAAAAATTGTTTTTGAAACTTAGTGTGTTTATTCCCAAACTAGCAATTACAAACTTAAAATCTTGACCACTATCTTAATATACATATCATAAATCAAAGCAGTGCATGTAACAAACAGATGTATTATTACACTTGCAGGGGAGGAAATACATGACTTAAACTTTGCCGTTGCAGATGGCACCCAATTTGGTTTTTGGAGCATTGTCTTATTGTTGCAACATCATCATTTTGTTGTGATTATATTGTGTTTAGATTTTATGAGGAACAGTTGTCTGGAGGCAGCAAGAGTTTAACCACAGTACCTTACACAGTAACCTTACTGTCTAGCCCTGCCAGTGCTCTTAAAGACTGTAGATGGAAAGAACTGAATTCTGTTGCATTCTTGCCAAAATCTGCTTTGGTCAAAACTGAGTGATCTCTTATACCATGACTGTATAATTTTGCCTCCCTTAATGATCCTTTAACCTTTTCATTAAATGAGTGTCTAGGATTTTCTTTTTCTTTTTTCAAGAGGTTTATCCTCTTCCCTTCAAATTTAAATTCAGACTATCTTTTAAAATTTTTATATCTTGGCTATCTTCTTGCAAAATTTCAAATAAACTTAGTTTGTCGTTTGATGACGTTTTTGGGTTCCTTTACCTTTCAGGCATGAACTCTGTGTATTTCTAATATAAGTTGAGTCCAGAACATGTTCAAATAGAACATGTACAGGCTTTGGAATAAAAGCAGTGTAAATATACCGGGTTATGTTGTAGTTTTGCATTTTTGAATGAGTGTTTCCAACTAAATGGTGTGATGGGGTTTTGATGGATATGGGTGAATGCATTTTTTTCTAACCCTGAAATACTAAATTGTGGAAATGGTAGGGAAAAGAGTTGTAAGGGGGAAAAAAACATAAATTCACAGTATGGTAATAGAGAAGTGATGCTATGATTTCTTTTGTTATTTGCAGATAATAAAATTACCCAGTGGGAAGACCCCAGGCTGCAGAACCCGGCGATTACTGGTCCAGTAAGTACTGCTGCGGATTTTGCGCATTGAGTGCCGCGACTCAGGGTATATTCAGGGTGGGCAGGAGGCGTTCCCGCAGAGCTGGTCACTGCGTGCCCTCTAGGTCGGCTCAGGCTGTTTTCCCCGTGCAGGGGCTGTGAAGCAGATCTCTGCCTCGCATGGTCTTTCCAGGGGTGCTGGCCTTGCGTGAGCCACCTCTGCCTTCCCGGGCAGCAGGGAGGTGCTGCCCTGCGAAGGCCTGTCACGGTGCCCCAGCCGTTGCCTTGTCCCCGGCGTGGAGAAGGTTGGACAGCGGTCTGGTCCCTGCTTTGGTCTACACTGGGGTCTCTTCTGGCCTGCCACCAGCTGCCCGAGGTTGGTGCAGTCACGTGCTCATCAGGAATCGCGGGAGCATTTCTCACTATAGCGCTATCCAGATAACACACAGGTTGGCAAATATGTGGTATCAGTGGCTATTTGGTGGTTTTGGAGGCCTCCCTAACAATAGCGACCTAAATAGGGAATTTTTCCAGTCTTCTGGTATGCTTGCTTTCTTGTAGCTGCTAGCATGTGATGCTAGCATCCTTATTTGAGCGTCTAAGAAACGGACTGTGACAGTAGATCCCAGCATGCGTCCATCTCAAGGCTGGGAAGGCTCTTTCTTCAGAAGGATAGAGATGATTTTGTTGGGCTGGTTTTTATCTTTTATGTTGTTGTGTGATTTCTGGATGATTCCCCAGCCACTCTGAAATGACCTAGCTAAACACGCTGCGGCCACTAGTTTGTTCTCTGAAACGCGTGGAAGCCACCGTTTCTCATCTGCTGCGTTCTCCTGCCGCTGCAGCCCGAGACTGGGTCCGCCAAGTGAGGTGATGAATGAGATCTCTGAAAGAGATCCATTACTGGTATGATCCTTGGCTGAAAGTAAAAACTTAAAATCTCAAGGCAGATTTTGCAGTTGAATTTGCTGCTTCCTGTGATGGTGAAATTCCAGGTGTGATTTTACTTAAAGTACAGCTAAAATAATGTTAGTGTAAAATATTCTTTAGGTTTTTTCTCTTTCTTTTTTAAACTTTCTGATATTGTAACTTTCTTACTGTGGGGCGGACGGTACTAAATCTTTGCGTCTTATCCCTTCCTCCACTGTGTTCAAATAGTTTGTTTTGTTATTAGGCTGCGTGAAGGCGCTGAGTCTGCTCTGAATCTCAGTCCTTGGGAGTTTCAGACCAAGTGCTTTGCTGAATCATTGATCATAAGCTTTAGGGATGTGGATAGGAGAGATGTTTGTGTTTACCCCTTATACGGGTCACAGAATCTTATTGAGGTATACGTTTTTGGATTTCTGGATAATAAAAAGCTGTTTCCACTCAGTAAGGAAGAAAGCGTAACAAAGAGAAAAACTGGGGCTATCAAATTCAAAAGAGACATAAAACTTACTGTAGATAAAACCGTTTTCAGACTATGAACCTTGGAAAAAATAAACTTATGTTTTTACTTTAATATCAGTTTGTCAAAACATCAGCTATGTGGAGTGATTCTTTGATCTTTTTTATGCAGTTTTATATCATTTTACGGTGTCCTGAGTGATCATATTTCCAACCCTTAAGATGTTTTCAGGTGGAAAGAGGAAGGAATCTTCCAATAATGCTTTTTATTTTGAATAAAGGCTCATGATTTTTAGGGGTTACAGTGCATAGCAGATTAACTACTGTGTAGTATAGTCCTAAATTACTACTCACTACTACAATTTCTTGCTTGAACATAATTGCTTTTGGACTGAGTTATCCATTTATCATGGACTTAATGCTTGCGATACTAATCTACAGTATATGGTACCAATTCTTACATTTATTCTCCAAGAAACCTCGAGCATAAATGGGAGAGACTGTTAGGAGAATTTTCTTTCAAGATAATCAAGGTCAATCCTGATCCCATTAAATTAATAACAGGATTTTTTTTTTTAAAGAGGAAACAAGATCAAATCTGTCTTACGGCCACATAAATATTCATCTTAATGATTTTAATAGTATTTTTAATGGTATTTTTGGGGCCACGACCAAAACAGAGAGGTACTTAAATAGCATTTCACATTGAATGTAAATGATATGAGCATGTCGAAAGGTTCCTTAATGGCTGCGGTAAAGTGACAGTCCTTCAGGCCTCTCTCTAATCCCCAGGTAAACGGGTGTTGTAGATGGGGTCTGGCAAAAAGCAGGGAATTAAGGACTCTTACTTGGGTGCCGTAGCTGTTATCTGTCGGAGCCACAACATCTCGTGAGCGCCTGCGTTACCCGAGGGCTGGACGGAGTAGTTTGCGGTCACGGCTCTGGCAGCCGGGAGGACGGACGGCTGCCACCCGCGCTGCGGCGTGATGGCGGCCGGCGCCCGAGATGGCGGCCG